GGCCGGGGGATTTTGCCTTCTCCCTTTGGCTAGGCTTCGTGTGTTTGAAATGTCTGTTCTATCCTCTACATCTATGTAAATTGCAATCGCGATACTAATTCGTTGATGCAACGTGAGTTTACAAATGCCTCCAAAGCCTTTATTTGCATGTTCTTGTAGTCACAAATCTATCAATAATTTTCAGTTAGAAAGGCTGTGTTCTGTGAGAGGATTAACGCAATTATCATAACTGATACCGTCAATCTTGATGAAGGTTAAGTAAGTGCAACATTTGAAGAGCATATTCAGCTTGGTGTGCTGGTTGCGTTGGCGCTAAAGGATCAACCATTGTACTCCCGCTCGGCAGCACGACCTCCGGGCCATGCCAATAGCTCCTCAGTCCTTCCGTACGTCAGAAATACATTTTCTGTCCTACTATTATGACTTCTGATGTCTTCAATGTCTTCTCAATGAAAGCTTGTAAGATGATGTCTACCTTCGATACGAGATTGCCAGTACATTCCCCTGACCCAGTACAGTTCCTAAACAGGAGGAAACTCCAGATCCATTAAACATGATAAGAGGGATCAATGACGTTGCAGTCGTGTCTTTAGTCACACGCAAGTTCGATGACTGGCGTAGATGGTTTGCGAGGATTTTTCTTGCACCATCGACTGAGTTGATGGTCGACGCGGGAGGTTGACCACGCGGAGCGCCGGAGAGGTCGCTTAAAAGAGGAGAGGGCCTATACATAAATGAAGTTTTTGGCCTTAAGTTTTGGTTACGCGGGCACTTAAGTTACCACCGTTGTGCTTCCATTTCAGCAGGACGACCTCCGAGCCATGTCAGTAGATGCCCAGCCTCGCCCCACCCACTGCACGTCAGCAATGCATACTCCGTTCCAGTATTATGGCTTCTATCGTCCTCAAAAAAGACTCGGAGCACTAAGAGTCGATTACATCATATTTAATTTTTCCTGCTGTTTGTTTTTTTTTTACGTGCATAAAATTCCCGCTGTGACACCGTACAAGCTCTACACATTCCAACCTTGCTTTTTTAATTCTTATAAATTTCCATCTACATAGAGGAACTCGGCAACTCCCCTTCAATTTAGTTATTCCCTCTTTTACACAACTAAGCACCGGTCCCCAATCGCCATAGATTCGTAGAACCATTACAACTGCCCAACAAGTGCAGCCGCAAGGCCCGCAGACTCTAATCCTCACCCGCTTCTTAGTCAAATTGAATTACTTCTCAGGTGAGATGTCGCGCAGCAAAGCGACTTGCTTCACTTTCAAAAAAGAGCATCAAACAAAGAATCACAAATATGCATCTATGTGTACCGTCAAGGTCTGCCAACAGAGGCGAACAAGACGGGAGGGAGGGTGAAAACGAAACGGTGAAACGCCCACCGCAAGCAGCACCAACCACTTGTCCGTGTGTGTGGGTCTGTATGCATTCGCATGAGATGAAAGGGGAGTGGAGGTGGATGTGCGCACGATTAGACCGAAAAAAAATACATACCGTCTACCAGTGTAGGGTAAAAGAGGGTACGCAAGAGATGGGGAAGGATAGGTAGCCACCTTAAAATGCACCAATCATTACTGAGAACGCGTGTACGTGTACGCAGAGTTCGGCGAACGTACGCGAAAACAAAAACCAAGAGAAAAAGAAACCAACAACAGGGGTGGTAGTAGTAGCGGCAGCCGGAAAGAAAAGAAGGTTTCGGACTCAGAGGTAGATGAGCGAATGAGAGGGGAAGAGGGGGAAGGGTGACTATTTATACTGGAAGATTATTGCACAGCGAGAGAGGGAGGCATTTTGGATGTTTATATCACCTCATAGAAGGCCGTTAGCGAGTTTTCCTGACCCTGAGACGTAATTTCCACCGCCTCCGTCGTCGGCGTTGTCTCCTCCTCCGCGTGCGTATTCTGAACAGTCGCAGATGTGAGGAGAGATGGGCCAGGGCTATAGAACTGCTGTTGACGACGCTGCATTTGATACTGTCGGTACTGCATTCGATGAGATCGCGACTGTCTCATCCCACCACTACTACTGATTCCCATAGAGGAACCGTAGCTTCGTTTCGGTGGAGGTGGAAGACCTGCCACCACCGTTGTGAGACCCCCTCCTCCTCCACCATCACTTCCAGACGGCTCTTCGAGGAGATCTGCAGATCCACAGACCTGCCAGAAGCCGCGAATTTGTGGCGACGCACCATAGACAGGCAGTGATGATGGTGGTTGTGGTGAGGATTGGGTCTGTGGAGGAGGTAGACGCTGAAGACGGGTCAGTTCAGCTTCAAGGAGGTGCGAATAGGTCTTGTAGCGAACAAGTTCATACTCTAGGAAAGCCACACGTTCATCCAATTCAGCACGTTGGGCTGCAAGCTCGCTGCCAGTGCCACCACGGAGAGCGTTGAAATTCTTCTTGCGTCGACGACCAAGACTGGCGGTGGAGAAAGCCGAAGAGAGCGAGCGCTCCGGTTGGTGAGTGGCGAAGGACGGGAGAGTGGCGGCAGTGGAGGGTTGGAGCGACTTGAGCACCGAGTCGGGGATGTAGGACAGTTGGGAGGAGGGTGGCTGCTGAAGCTGTTGATTCACTTCACTCTCCGACACCACCGTCACTGCAGACGAGTCACTCTTACTCGAAGGTGCCGGTGACGGTGCCGATGGCTCCCGAGACAAATAGGTCAGATTAGGCTGCGACGGCGCTGACATTCGACGCCGTTTCAGCTCCGCCAAGTCTCCTGCCAACTCCAGAATGAGCTTCTGATGACCCTCCAGTTGCTCATGCTGAAGTGTTTTTTAAATGTTGCTACTGAGAGTTTTGTTAGTAAAGGATTAAATAACCTGAGATCGGGATCAGGTCATTAAATAATCGATAATTTGGGGAGGGTTCTTCTCTCGTCTCGTGACTTTTGAACAGGAGAATGTATGCCAAACGAGCATATTTGTCATATGAGGCGGAGTCCTGTGCATGATATACAAATTGAAGATAGAAATCCTGAGCCAACATTAAAATGGTTCTGCAAAAATTATTGGGGAGGCGAAGGGATGTCTGCGTGACAGCTCCGAGTAGCTGATGACTCACTCAGGCCTTCACTTGGCACGACCAGCCAACTATCCAGACAACAAAAGTACGTACTTAGGAACTAGGCAAGCCTTACAACCAGATAAGCAATCCTCGGAAAGAAAGAAATCCTCTCACTCAAACTGTCGAAAAAGGGAAACGGTAAAGTGGTAAAACTGCCTCAAAGTTTTACCAAAATGCGTGGATGCGAAAAGGTAATAACCACAAAAGGTACGTAAAAGGGGAGAGGGTGGAGGCCAGACAGATCGCATGCGATCACTATAGCTGCTAGCATAGACATCCCAGATTGCTTTTAGCCTCAAATGCTGTTAACCGTTATGCTGCGTGATGAACGTAGTATTTGTACAAAACATGCCCACAAGGAGGCAATAATACAGTGCCACCATTTGCTCGGCTGCCTTATTCTACACTTTATGCTTTTTGCAATAGGAAAGCAAGTTATTCCGTTAAAGGTAACCAGTCCATTGGAGGTAAAATTTGTTTACAATAGATGTGGATTCAATGTAAGCATAAAATAAAAGCACCTCTGATGTAACAGAATCAAATTTCTCTATCAAAGGCCCGAATAAGTTTATCACATAAGTACGAGCAATTTTTATAGTAAAAGTGGACAATTTCTTCGAATGTCCCACTGTATCGAAATAGCAGCCCCTAAAATCTTGCTCACTAACAT